GAGGGAGAGATACATTGCAACTTTAATTCGTTAAAATTTGATAAATAACTACCACTACTTCAAGAATAATATTTATCAATTTGAAACAATTACTTGTTCTGAATGAAATGCAGGGAACTATTCTTCCTTTGTGGAAAATCACTAAACAATATTTCTGAACTGATATTCCATGGTCTATATTACTGCATTAAGTCACCCTCATGTGGGGTGTACTATATTAAAAGAAAACTTCGTGAGGATGCCCAAGTCTCCCCATGCCGAGCTGACTAAGGCACCCCCTTATTTCCCCTAATTTTTTTAACCCTATCCGTACGTCGTGTTTTACTATCGTATCCATACGATGTGGGGAACTCTGTCCCACCACTTTCCAAAGAGGCAATTTACTCGTTAATTTGATCAAGAAATACTGAAAGTTTCAAAGAGATCTTCCCACTAGAAGTATTCTAAAATGTGAAGAATACAACCCAAGGGGTACAAAATGATCCCAGGGCGTACGGACAGGGTTAAAGAATTGGACATGTTTTCTCCCAAATGGGCCTAGATCGATACTATTCAACCATCCCCCTAATTTGAACCCACAAATTTGAACTTAAACTCGTGACTTTTCAAATAAGAAATCCTAGAAACTATAAAAGCTGCCTCAGTCACCCAGGTTTACCGTACTACTATCTGAACAAGTCTCAACTCAGTAAGTAGAAGCTAAGCTAAAGAAAATAGTAATATTCTTTTTAAGTAAGGTTGTTAATCCAGAACATTAGAGAAATCTAACGTAAGGAGAATGGTAAGGCTGTCTTCATAAGCTTTTTTAAAAAATTGTTACAATGACGCAGGTCCAAAGAAACGCACGTAAAATCACATCCAAACAAACTATGCATTCAATCATTAAAGAAAAAACAATTTTTACGCTGCATAGGCCAACTACTTTCAATAAAACGAAAGATGTAGTCAGTCAAGCAGAGAATATTGTTTTTAGTTTAAGTAAGTTTTACAGCACTAGCAACACAAATAGGCCTTATATTGTAAGTGCCGAAAAGATTAGAGGAGTTACTAGAGAATAACACACAAAGAAACAAAGGGGGAGAGATAAGGACGATAGATGTTTGATAGGAAAGAAGGAGCAAACCACACCAGAGCACCCACCAACCACCCACAAGAGATTATTGATACCTCTTGCACATGGATCACAGCCTTATACTGAGTGCTGTATATAGCAACAAGCAAAGAGAAATAAGATAACATGAAAGATGCACTAATGCACCTGTGCGTATGAGTAGATTTATACTAAGGCAGAAGAGGAAAGAAAAAACCGATGTAGGCCCTATATGGTCAGCCAAAATATTTCATTCCCATAGGATACACTAGTTTTAGTAAGAGTTTTACGGCACTTGCAACACAATAAGGTCATATAAGTGCCGAAGATTAGACGTGTTACTAGAGAGTAGCAAACACAAAATAGAAGGAGGGGAGATAAAGAAGACGATAGATGTTTTATAGGAAAGAAGCAGCAAACCACACCAGAGCACCCGCCAACCACCCACTAGGATACATTATGATTATGAGGTCACAGCATTTCCCAAGAGCTACACCATTTTAAAGTTTTACTAAATTATTGCCCTAGCCAGTTACTTTGAATGAATTTCTACAGGACGACGCCAAACATAAAAATGTGAACTTTCACACATTTATATTATTTGATATTGTCATGAGAAGAGCAACAAAGAACAAGCTCATAAATCCCAAAGTAAAATATTTTGCTTCCAAAGAAACTGACATTTATTAATTACAATTTAAACCATTTGCCGCTGACATCACAGAAATAGGGGGGGGGGTGTTTCGTTTTGCTGGGAAGTGTTTTATGGCCTTGCACACGGGACTTCCGAGATTTTTCACTCTTGTCCGAGAAGGCTAGGTGTTAGATATTTCCTAACGGTTATGACATTACATTTCCTACTACAGTGAATTAGACACGAAAGCAGGTACACGTATTAAGCTAAACATTCAGGAATGCAAGGATACATATTTCACCCATGTCCATAAACTTGAATCACTTGTGAATTTTTGAAAACACAGCCATTGTATATAAACTCTAAGATCAACATATTTTAACAACCACTTTTTAAATGAATCATCCCTTACAAATGTGTCTCCTCAGATATGCATACTTTAGCATATTTGAAATCTAATAGAATCAGTTTCAAGGCATGAAATGCACAAAACAAAACCAAAAAAATAATAAAAGGGAACCCCAAAAAATCCCCATTTTCTTAACTTAGAATTCTTTACATCGACTGTAGGACTGAATATGTCGAAAGGCAAATTCTGGTTTTTATAACTTTTTGAGTCATATGCAAGTTTCGCCCTATTTGAAAACGTGAAGATTATTTGCTGTTGCTTTGAGGTAATACCAAAAAACCAACAACAAAAAACCAAAGCAGAGCTAACAGGAACATATCATAACAAAGCAAGCATTCAATAAAACAACTTTCTTTTTCTTGAGAGAGAACTGGTTTAGTTATAGTAACAGTTTTACGGCACTTGCACACAATAAGGTAATATAAGTGCCAAAGATTAGAGGTGTTACAAGAGAGTAACATACACAAAAAAAGGAGGAGGAGATACAAGGACGATAGTTTTTGACAGATAAGAAAGAAGGAGCAAACCACACCAGAGCACCCGCCAACCACCCACAGAGAACTGGTTTGGTTCAGAGTCACCACCATGGAATAATGGCAGCCTGCCATTTCACATTGGATCGCTTTTAAGCACAAGGGGGCCATCCCGAAAAATGCTGCTTTGAGAAAATCGAAGGTAAAGTTTTTGCCACTCGTTCAGTGTCTTTAAAATACAAGGAGAGTTTTCTCTATAACCAAACAAATATACACACCAATGAAACCAAACTTCTCCTGATAAGCAGGGTAATGCCCACTTTTGGTGTAGGTCAAGATTTCTGAAAACTCCCGAAATCTGGGTTAGCCTGCTTGTCCTTAAAAGCGACCGTTTAACAACCATGGACAATTTATTGTACTTCCATATAAGTGAGGAGAACAGAACAGAAAACAGGTTCAGATGTGACAGTCAAAGACCAAACAATGGACAAACTTCTGGGCAACATTTGCAAAGAATGTCCAGGGGTTGGGGTGATATAAAAGGGAGACAGAGAGAGAGAGAGAGAGAGAGAGAGA